CACTCCCCGGTCCGTGCGTGCCCGCGGAGCCGCTCGCGTGTCCGTGGGGCCGTGTCGTGCTGAGCTCCCACCCGTCCTTCCCCCCAGGTCTACTCGGCTCTCCAGTGGATTCAGTTCACCATGGCCGTGCTCAGGTACGACGCGCTGCTAAACCCGCGGCCCCGGGATGCCGGGCTGGAGTTACTACTGCAACGACGATTTTCTCCGTCAAAAAAAAAGAGAAATCGCTTATCCCAGCAAGGCGGATGTGCTCCAGTTCCAACCTGTGCTTTGTTTTCTCAGCGTTATAGGTTCCAGCTCAATTATTGCCTATGCCGTCTTTCAAAATGCAGTGCGGTCCCCCGAGGTAAGGTCTGCGCCTCCTTTTCCCAGGAAAAGGTGTTGGGAGCTTACAAATGGGCTGTGTGTGTAGCAAAGACCCGTGTGGGAGCAACCGCCGGTCTCAGGCTTATGTGGTTACACCTTGTTTAACAACTGGGAGTCAAAGGGCTGGCCAAGAGTTTGGCCTTTTGTCTGCGATATGAGTAGAAGGGACTCACCTTGAACTGCACCCACGCAGGGAGAAGCAGGTTCCTTAGCCCTGTGCTTTCTGTCGCTCCGGGAAAGTCCTCCCGTCTTTCAGGCACATCCTGGGAACAGGGGGTTGTTAGCATGTCCTCCCTTGTGGGGTGAAACGCCTGAAGAGCTGAGGAGCTCTGTACAAAGCTGCTGAAGTGCAAATTGGAGATGCCCTTGTAGGAAATGCATTTACAGGTGTCCGTCTTCGGGTATTTCTGAGTAGTTTTTCCAGGCAGGCGCACTACTAAAACTGATACAACTCAGAGGTGCTGCAAAGTGCAGACAAAAAGAGACAGGACTGAAAAGCAGTTTATTGTGCTGAGCTCCGTGGTGGGGCTTTGGAAGATTCACCCTGGCCACACTCAGGAGCCGCAGACGTTTCTGACACTGAAGCAGTGGGACTCGGGTGCAAAGTTCCCTCAGGATGGGACTGTCCACACGTGCACTGCAGATCTGATGTGAATGCAGTGCCTGGCACGTCTGGAGTGCCTCACGTGCGCTGGGAACCCCGTGTCTCTGGGATAGATCAGATTTGCTGAGCAGGTGGCTGGCACATGCGCAGTAACCATAGACCCCCATCCCAAGGCTGCCAGGCTTTTGCTGTCCCCATGTGGTCCCTCCGTCCGTCCAGGACTTACCGGAGGCAGTGCCCAGAGCTGATCAGTGGGAAGCAGGCGTTTGTTGTCCGGGATTTGCAGATGTTTGGTAGCCCAGGCTGTGGACCACGCAGATGACAGGTTACTGCTGAGAGCAGTAGGACAGCAGAGCTGGAAGCTGTGTTGTAACAAAGCTGTATTTGTACTTCCCTCATCTTCGATGTTCTTGTACATCGTGGGTTTGGTCTGCAGCCCAGAGAACAGCACTTCCAGGGAATGCACGGAGTTATCCCCAGAGAAGGAAGGCATGCAGTCAAACTAACAACTGACAGGTCGTTGGATGAGGCAGGGAGAGGAGGAGAACGTGAATCCAGGTTTGCAGGGCAAATTTGCATCCCTCACAACACGCAGGGCAGCCTCGCTCCCAGGCAGCCAGCCTCCTGGAAACGCTCTGCCCAGCACATCAAGAATGAGCTGCAGAGATCTCTGTGCATTCCCAGGGGGAAATGAAGGCTGGGACTTCACCTCAGTGCTGGGATGGAAGACCTGCCTGAGCTTGTGCTGCACGGGGTGCCTATCAAAGGCTCCCTCTACCACATCTCCTGCACCTGGAGAGTTCCAGACATGGTTCTCTCCTGGGGTCCTCTGCTCTGGTGTGATACGAAGCTCAGTTTGGCAAGTGTCCTAATGACTCAGCAGCCTGGGCCCGTTGATTTCCATGGCTAGAAGTCCACATTACTCAGGAGCCTTTGTGCTATTAGTCATATGATGTGGCTGTGGCTTGGGAGCTGCACTCCAGCTGTTTGTGAGCCACGCGTGGCTCCAGGTCACAGATGGACCCTTCCTGCTCGAGAGAGTCCAGATGTTTCTGCTCAGATTATTTCTGCAAATCCAGACAGGAGAGATGGATACCAGCTGGAGTGATTCATCTGCATCAGGCTGCCAGGCTCTTCTGCTGCCAGGGGCGATCCATTGCTGGTGTTTCAAAAGCAGCAAAATCTTCAGTAACTTCCCCATTGCCTTGTCCCCATGTTTCTGGTCTGAAGTGAAAATTTGTAAACAAATGGGCTGGAAGAGATCCATATCAAAACTTGCCACAAACAGCTTATTCCCTGAGTCATAAGGCTCCAGAATAAAATGTTTAAAAATAAACAGCTCTGGAGGCTGGGAGGAGAACAATGTTATAAACACTTCCCCTCCTGCCCCCAGCCTAGGAAATCAAATATTGCATTCTTGAAGCTTGTTTTCTGTCTCTACGGCATCAATAAAACTCTTCAGGCTGAGCTAAGTCATTCAGAAGAGATGATGGCAAGCAACAAACAAAGACTTTCCTCTGTCATGTCAACAGGTTGTGTGCAGGCAGATGTCCCTGGGCAACGGCCAGGCAGAGCTAATTCAACACGTATGCTCCAGCCTGGCAGCTCATCTGAATCTTTATGTCTTTACATTCCTTTCCTCTATTTTATAAATACCATTTGTTGTGTTTTTTTCTTTTCCGTTTTGCAAGGAAGAGCCATGCTGCCTGTCACTTACCATTATGTCACCTACTTCTTTATTTAGGTCTGTGCCAAAATAGCTCCTCAACCAAAGAGCGGTGCCTCGCTCCAAGGACACTTGTTCCTAGGGAAAGGGGTCACCTGTTCGATTGCAAAAGTTGCTTCTTTGCTTATTTTGGAGCTTATTTTAACCTGCTGTGCTCTCAAACTGGACAATGTCCCCAGCCTGTCATGCCTATGACAGCCTGCCAGGGCTTCAGTTCTGCCCCAACAAGGAAAAGCCTGGTTAAAAAAGGTGTCTGTAAACACAATGATGCACAAACTGGCTCCAGCTATTTAGCTAGCAACAGCAGTTTGCTTTACCATGTTCCTGGGTTGGATGGTACAAATATGGAACTGGAGGGAGAAGGATGTTGGAGGAAGAGAAATCCTGCAGAAGGATTTCTGCACAATGCTGCTGTACAGTGGTGGGGGGCCCAGGAAGACACTGGGCAGATCTCCCTCAAACTGTGTCGTTAGGACACATCTGGTTCAATCAAACGTACCTTACTGCTTACTGATCTTACTAAGCTCTTTCTCGTTGCTCACGGGAGCAAGACAAGTATCACGCAACGCGATGGGTGGCAAGCGTTTACTTAAAGGACAATATTAAGGCAAATCTCACCAAAAGCTCAGTTCCATGAAAAAAATCTTAAAATCGAGGCCTCCTGAAATGTTTCTGTGCTGTGTTTAGCGTTCTAATTTCCTGTAGGGGGAAAAAAAAAAAAAAAGCCCTCATTTTCTCTCCAGGATGCTGAAAATTAGGTACTGAAGGCTACAACTAAGAATCTGGATAATTAGGCTGCTTTTCCAGAGTGTCTGCTCTCCCACTAACAATGGAAATGTTGGCCAGAATTTTGTATAAATGTTTTCCTACAGTGTTTACAGTCCTTTTGGCCAGTGCATGCAAACTGGAAATGGGCTGGAAACTGCCATTAGAGAGGCGACTCTGTTCCAGCAAGATGCAGTGTGCAGCAGAGAGACTAGTGGCTCTCATAATGAAAATTAATCTGGCATGTAAAAGAGATTCAGCCTTAGTCACCAACTGAAACAACGTGAAAACACACAGGAAAAATGTCTGTTCCAAGTTATTTCAGACTTGAAGTAGGGTTTGTGTTTACCAAAAGTTTGATTTCTCTATCAGTTGATTTAAAAAATGACATCGCTTCTCCCTGCCAACCTGTCCCCTTTCTGTAAAATAGAATCATAGAATCATGGAATGGTTTGGGTTGGAAGGGGCCTCAAAGATCATCCAGTTCCAGCCCCCCTGCCATGGGCAGGGACACCCTCCGCTACACCAGGTTGCCCAAAGCCTCATCCAACCTGGCCTTGATAGTAACATTCTGGACCTTTGAGATATTTTCTGTAAGAGTTGATGCTGCTCTTGGATCCTGAGGCAGTGCTAGCAGCAGAAAGGGTGATTAGAGCAGAATATCTGCATTAAAACATCTCCTGAGAGCAAGACCCACCGTGGTTTTTAGGCAAATTTAGGTGCCGGGGTAAAAGCGCTGCTGTAGGCAGTCGTGGGGTGTTGTGACCATCGCTCAGACCTGCTGACCAATGTCACTTTTCCCAGGTTCGTCCACTTTTCTACCTGAGCCTCTCTGACCTGTTCCTGGGCATGTGCTGGCTCACTGGGGCGCTCCTCTATAGCACACCGACCTCCCAGCAGGATGTCATCTGCTATAACCTGCAAGCGCTGGGACAGGTGAGTACCCTTGGCATCCCCGTTCACGCTGTTCCCGTGCACCCTGCGCCATAATTAGCCGCGCTGGTGATCAGAGCGTGGCCGTGAGGGACTACTTCTAGACAGGCTTTGGCAGAGACTCGCCGTGTGAACTTGACTTATCAGATCTCTTTGCCTTGCGTGTGAAACGGAGATAAGGGTGCTTGGGTGTAGGTACGTCTGGTTTGTGAGAGGCAATGAGGAAGGCAGAGAGAGCATGGGATTTCGTGGTTGCCGTGTTCGAGTTGCTTGTGTAAAGAGAGTAGATGGGTCTTCATCTGTTTCCTGCTGGAGCCGTGCCAACAATGATCTCTGCGCCTCTCACATGGCAGCTATTCTGTTCTTCTTCATGCTTCCTCCATCCTGAGCGGGAACAGACACGTCCTGCGATTCGCTCGAGCTCAGACTTACAACGTTACTCATATAAACAGCCCTGCTCCTGCTGGCCTGGCCCCATCCTCTCTCAAACGTTTCCAAGGATGCTCGGGGGCTGCGCTGTCAGCGCAAGCTCAGCGCCGTGCCCCGGCGATTCGGCTGCTTTCCAGCGGATTTTGTGTGCTGGAGACTAATTGGAGTGGAGTGAGCGAAACACCGTTTTCCTGACGGATTGCTTTTGTCTCACCGAGTTCCCATTTCAGCACTGGCCGTTGCGAATCACCGCCTTCAAAAAACTCTGCAGGGTACGGCCGCGCTTGAGCCAAGAGCGGTGGTTCACAAACTTAACGGTTTCCTTTTGAAGGACCCACGGAAACGTGGCTGGGAAGAGCAAGTGGCTGCCGGGAGCCTTGATGTGTGTTGTGTGGGCTTGGGCAGTGCCCAGGGAGCGCGATGGTGCCCACAGGCAGGAACTGAAACGTCCTCGCTGAGCGGCGGCATCTGAAGCTGGAGAGGTTCTCCACGTCTCTCGGAGAGGGCAGGGAGGTAGCAGAGTGTGCGGGATGGAAGTGTTCATGCTGTGGTGTGTCTGGGGATGGGCACCTGCAGCCCGGGGCTGTTTCAACAGCTGTTCTTGTGGGTAAAACCATAATACTCTGATGGTAAAACCATATGGTAAAAGCATAATTCAGGATGGTGAGAGCAGCTGTTCCACTCCTGGCTTGTCTCTGGTTTCTGTAGCTCCTCTGTGCCGCGGTGGGAGCGCCGCAGTATGTTCACGTCGAGAGAGGGAACAGCGGGGCGCGTGTAACTTGGCCGCTTGGGAATGACACTGAACAACATCAACGATGGTTTTTAGATGATGGTCCAGGGGAGAATGAGGAGAGCTTGGGAGATGCTTTTCAGAGCAGGAAGGTGGAAGGAACATGCGGGGCTGAGGGCATTTCTGAGCTGTTGCAGAGATGTTTCTCTTGCAGCTTTGCCTGGAGGATGTTTCTTAATGCTGGTGTGATCTTTTTATGGCCTGGAGAAGACAGGTTGCGTTGCTAGAGGAGAAATGGGTTGGGTATAGACAGTACACCATCATTTCTCAGTAGAGACAGCTGAGGGCATGCTATGCTCAGGTACATTTCTGGCTCTTGTCTGCCCTTACTCTTCCAGCCTGTGACCATGCTTCTCAGGGACACCAGCAAGGGATGAGGGCAAGGTGGGAGCTTTACTTTCACACTGGGAAAGGCAGCATGGGTAGGCAGAGCTGGCCATGGGCCTCAGCCCCACGGGGGACAGTCAGGGTGCTGCGGTGGGGTGCACAGGGTGCCTGCCACATCCCGACCTCAGCCACAGCGTCACTGGGCTTCTCTCCTGCGTGCCACCAGCAGACCCCCCCTGGCAGGAGGACCGCCGGGGTGGCAGAGCCAGCCGCCTCCAGCAAGAGCTGTTGCTGCTGTTTGCTCTGGGAGAAGTTAAAACAAACGGAGCACTTGCCATAGCAACCGTGCCCGCACGGCGCACGTGACACGGCGCAGGACACCTTCTTACTGAACACCCCAGCAATGCCCTTGCGTGGTGGGAACACCTCGTGCGTAAGTAGGAGCCAGTAACAGGTTTGACCAGCGGCTTCTGCAGAGCACAAGTTATCTGTAACCCAACGAAATGAGTAAATGTCTCCTGGCCCCGTTCTGCCCATGCTGAGTGGAGAAGTCTCACCAGGGCTGCGTTCCCGGGTGTCTCCTAAACACCCGCAGCTTCTTGGCACGCGGACACCTGGAAGATGTAAAGTGCATGGGACGAGAGGGGTGAGGGCAGGCTCAGGACTGCTCTGCACTGGTGCTTGCAGGTGGCAGTCCTTGGAGAGACTCGGACCACGGTCTGTGTGATATGGTTGTCTCAAGGGATTGCCTTAGGCACAGGACAATGCTTTGGCTTATTCAGCCTGTTTACTGTCACTTTGTCACCGAGGGCTGACGGTGCAGCAGATGGAATTCCCCTAACATCCGTACCAGGTCGTAAAGGAGGAGATTGCTTTTCCTCTTGGACTTTCCTTGTTTCAGCCCCAGACTCTTTGTTAAGTGTAAACACTGCTCCTTTCTGCTGTCCCTTGACGTTGTTCTCTCCTCCTCCCTGCCTTGCCTTTGCCTTACAGTACTAAAGTCCAGAGTAGAGTTCGTGGTTATAATTGCACAACTGCTCCACATTCTTCCAGTTCAGTTCCAGTGGCCTAATAATGTCCTGGCAGGCTCCGCTCACGCTGGTGAGCGCAACGGGGAGCCAGAGAAGTGTTACAATGAGGGACTCTCATGTCTCCCAGCCCCTGCTTTGTCTCCTGATGGTGACCACAGCCCCGAAGCTGGGGCTCAGGAGAGCAGAACTCCCTTCGCTCTCTGCTGGCAACTTCACGAGTGGCGTTTGGTTCCCTCTTCCAAAAAAGAAGGCGGCACCGACATTCCGTGAGCCTCTCTAAGGCGTTCTGAAGTGCAAGAGAACGACCTTTGTGGGCTGTTTTGATGATCTGCAGTGGAAGTAATTGAAGAAGGGCAACAAACGCTCGTTAAACCTTGTCTAATGAGCTGGAAAGTCACTGTAATGTTCCTGCTGCAGCGTCGCAGCCCCTTGGACTCGGCCTCTTGAGTCAGCCAGGAGTGTTTGCAATCTCAGTGAAGGAGACTAAGTTTATTTAGTGACGACTTTCCCGGGCTTAGATGACACCAGGGCGGCAAACCTGTGCTCTTTGCCTCTTTGGCAAAGGATAGCAAATCCACAGGAAAATCCACTTGTCCAGCCCTTCCTCTTTGCCTTTGCCACTGGAGCATGTGTTTCCTGTAACAAACCCAGCACACGCATGTCTCTGGTAGGATTAGGCAGCAACCACGGATTCCGAAACAAATGCAAGAAAGATTTGGGGGGTTTTACAAGAGATTTTAGATATTTGGTCTCACCTTAAGCTGGAATCAAGGGCTGGGAAATTCTGTGGGAGTGTTCTGTATCTTTTCTTTCCTCCTTTTTCCCGTGGAGAGAAAAGGGCTCTTGGGATGTTAACTCAGGCTTAGTGCAGGTATTCTCTGCCCCTGCTTTCCTCTTTAAATATACTATTGTCCTGGTTTCCGTTGGTTTCTGTTTCTGTGAAGTCACTCTGTAGTGAGCTCATTATGCGAGAAGCAAATCCAAGTGCCACATCTGCGTTGTGTTTCCTAATGGATGTAGCATAGACAGGGTCCAAGTGCCTTTGAACTCTTTGCTTCCAGGATTTGGGCCAAAAAATGAGCTAAGTCACAAGGATTTGTATTTTTAAGACATTTTTAACGCTAACATTAGTTCTCCTGTCCCTTGTTTGAGGCCAAAGTGAAGCTGCCTTTATGCGGTCTGAGTTGGGAGCCCCTCCTTTACTGGGCTCTGCCCAGTTGGTGTCCCAGTGCAGCCCTGTAGACACGAGCACAGGGGCTGTGCAGGGACCCTCAC